ACTCTATCATCCGAGAATACATGGCTGTTCCTTTTAAGGATGGTTGCTATTGTATAACCCAAGGCCATCAACCCACCAAGGAGGCGCACACTAACTCCAAATGTAATTCTTGGAGATATGACAAATGGAATATCTATTACCCATTCCTGAAAGTGAGTATCACAAACTATCAAATCAGACTTTCGTGAGTTGATAGTGTCTTAACAAACATATTAGGAAAAAAATAAAGAACTTCAATTGAACATACAAACTCAAAAGTCTATCCACCACTAAGCTATCTTGATTTGCATGCATATTTTGAACAAATGTGGTTCCCGACATTTTATTTTTCATAATTAATATCAGCTTACAGCACGTACAAACTTTCTCTACATATCTACAATTACACCTCCAGTGTCCTATACCAATCTTAAGTTTAGCTGCTTTAATTGCATCATTTATAGGACCAGTGAAACTGTTGATCACTAATGAGAATATGAGGTCACATCTAAAGGGACTCGACTCGTGATAATAAGAGGCAGAATCAGAAGGACAAACCTCAAACATAAGACTGTATTTTCCATCTTTATTCCGCATACGGAGATATGATTGGCAAGATTCAGGATCCTCACCAGGAGGTAGAAGGTATATATCATAAGTCTCCTCCTCTGTCTCTGTATGATCTTCAGATAAGACACTCTTAATTTGATCAACCGTTAACTTTCTTGCTGACTACAATTAAAGAAAGAGATGCAAGAACATATAAGGACATGGAAACCAGGGTGTACCAATAGTACAGTCACCAGTATCATATAAATAGTAACCTTTAATATATAAGTAGGACTTTGAAATCCAGTAAATGGGTTGAACTTGTTAATGATTTTTATTTGCGCTGTATGGAGATTTGGCTCGATGAATGCCTTGTACATTGGATATACCTGTATAACAGAGAAAGAGCTGAGTTCTACAATAGAAAGCAAAATTAGAGCACAGAAGTAGAATAATCAAATTTTACAAAATAATAGAAACACCTTTTCTCTATCTTACATAATAAATTTAACCCAAAAGAGAGAAAAGAGTAGAACATACAGTTTCAGATATTTGATGGATTATTTCTTCAGGTTCTTGGCCAGCTCGCTGTATGTCTCGTAGGACTCGTTTAACAAGGTCAAAGTGAACTCCACCTGTTACAGATACTCGAAGATCCAGCATAGGTCGCAACTTTTCACTCAAAGCATAAATGCCCTCAATAATTACAATGCGGGAGCTAGGAACTTCAAGGGTCCTGTCATAAAAACAAGCTAGGGTTAAATATAAAATCTACGTAAATATGAAAGAACTATAATCTATCAGGTAAAGTATCCATTTTATACTATGGATTAAGGCGGTAAATTCTGTTTTATACACTAATTGATCAGGGCTTCTACATTATACAATTAAATGTTCTTTTCTCTGGCATACCTGCAAAAACTTAACCCTTTAGAGCAAATGATAGTACTGATATGTACTAAATGAAGGAGTTTTCAACCTGTATCCTACTCGGGTACTAGCCTTGAAATCATATATAGGAACCTGAACTTCTTTCCCTTCCTTCAAATCACGAAGGTTCTGGAGCAACGTATCATAATCCGTCAAGCGTGGATCTGTTGTTTAAAAGAACCAGAATAACATCAGTTTACTCCTTTGCTTGCTCTTGGTTAAAATCTTCAACATCCAAATCGAACATGCAGACAATCAAATAAAACTTCAAGGCAAAGCATATGTCATGTTCTATTCATATAAAGAAAAGCTACATAAACAACATACATTATATTGCACCATCTTTAAATGCAAAAAAAAAAAAAAAAGATAAGAACAACTCAAATTGACACAAAAGATAAAGAATCGTTATAGTTGCCAACAAACAAGAGAAAAGATGAGTTACCATCAAAGTTGCCATCAACAATTCTACTAGCTTCATTATAATTGTCCATTGATATGGTCGCAATGCTGGGCATGAAGTTGAGTATCTTTTCTGTAAATACAGTCTTCCCTGCTCCAGAAGGACCCGCTAATCCTACCAATATTATTCCATCATTTTTTTGTGCCAACAATTGGCTCGCACGAATGAACAAAAAATCCCTTCTCAAAAGAAAAAGGTTCTTGGATTGAGACAATCTCATAGTGATCACAATCCTTTCTCTTGACCAGCCGAACTTGATCTTTTAAGAGACCTGCTCTTTTATGTTGTGCTTCAATACTAGAAGCATCTTGAGGCATGACTATCTCCGGTATACCTTACGAAAATAAACAAATAGGAAGCAGGAAGAAAAAGGTATAGTATAGCTGTGTGGCCTTGTAAGACAACGAAAATACTTCAATGTTGAATGTTCTAGTACAAAAAGCAGCCTGCAAGCATATTAATGAGAGGAAAATCAAGATGATTCTTTGTCCATGTAGAACTTACTATGCCCTACTAATCCATAAAAGAGACAATCAAAGCATCAAATGCAACAATGAAAAGAGAAAAGCAAGTGGGTAATTTATCAATAAAAGATTACAGAAAACATATTTATTATCTCCTTGGATTGCTAACTGTCACGTTTATCGGTGGTACTAGTCATTAATATATCATTTTCCACTATTTAAACTCATAAAGAACTGTCAGATATTTAGGTGCAAAATATTAAGAAGAAAAGCAAAACCAAGCAATGGCAATCAAACTCATTAGTTTCTTCCTTCATTTGCTGAACCCTGGCAGATTTCAGATAGAAAAAACAATATGAAAAATCCAGGAAAAAAGTACCAAAATAGCGTCTTTAGATATCAAAATAATCTTCTTTTACATTCAACAAACGATCAAAATACAGAAAGAAGCACATTAAAAAGAAGAAGCATCAAATTTAACAATGTATCCAACAGTCAAAACAGAATCAGGAAAAACACCTCTAAACTTATCAGAATCTACATTCTAACACCATATTTGGATCTAAACAACCACCTTTACCCGGGGGGAAAAAGATACCCAGATTACATAATGGCAAAAGAAGCAATACCCAGATTCCAGAGTTAATGGAAAATATAAAAAACAGTTGGAATTGATTACGAGTGTACTCACCCAGTCCGGCGGAATGAGTCTCTTTTTTCAGTTTTTTAAAACCAAATGAGTTCACCGTTTCTCCGTACACATGAAAACCGGTTATTATTATTTCCCGGAACAGAAACAAATGTGATTTCTCGGGATTTTCCTTCTTAATTTTCTGGGGAGTTGGGAATTCTAGAGAATCTAAAGGGGGGAACTTTTCCGAGAATGGATTCACATAAAAGCGAAAGGAGAGACATTTAACAGTTGATACCCGTAGTACTTTGGATTTATTTGGGTTTTTTAAATATACATATATACAAATAATACATAAAAAAACAAAAAGATTCAAATTGTTAGGTTTCCACTCAGTCGATAGAGGAATTAGAGTATTTTTATTATTAAAATTTATAAAATAGTTATTTGATTATTTATTATGTTTTAAATTTATTTTTTTTGTTAAAAAATTAATAGCAGTCTGAGACATATATTAATCTGTTGATTGAGATATATAAAATATGATCTCAAATGATTATCATATCTCAGTCAACATGTTAACGTCAAACTCAGATGATCGTTATTTTTTAACGGAAAATGACGAGTTTTAAACATAATGAATAGTCGAGTGATATTTTATAACTTTTAATAGTCCAAAGACTCAACAAAGTAACTCTCTATAATTAAGGGACCATTTTATAACTTTTAGTAATAAAAAAACTCAATAAAATAATATTTTATAATCAAGAACCATTTGTATACTTTATTTAAAAGAAATAAAATCATATTAAAATAAAATATCAAATTGTTTAGCTAAAGTAAAGGGAAAATGATGTTAACTTGAAAATTAGTTTTTCTTTGAATTCATAAATTTTGAATTCTACTTGAACTCAAAAATAGATTCATTATTTATTATTAACTTAAATAATTTAAAATTTTAAAAAATAACTTTTAATCGAATTTAATTTTTTCACCCTAAATATATTTACATATTTTCTTATATAAAGCATGTTATATATATATATATATATGGGTTAGATCCACTTAAACAATGTAAAAAAATTTGTTTTACACAGATTTAGGACCGTTGGATGAGTAAAAATAGATGGCTCAGATTGACTCCTTGTTTTTTTCCAAGTGAATATCTTCACATATCCTACTGTTAACCTAAGTCATCTATTTTCACTCATCCAACGGTTCTAAATCTGTGTAAAACTAGAAGAATTTTACATTGTATAACTGAATCTACACTATAGTCTTTAAAAGATTATTTATCAAAATAATACAAATCACGTCAATTGAAAAATATTTAAGGTATGTTAGGTTTAGCAATAGGAAAAATATAAATTTGATAATGGTCAATGTAGAACATTCTAATAATTAGAATAGCAAGTCCATTTAAATGTTTGACCAAATTAAACCAAGGCTCTTAACCTTGTGGTCGTAGGATCGAGTCTCACAGTGGATAATTCATAATTCGGAGGTCTCCCACGGAAGCTGCTCTCAACCTGGCGTTGGGGGCAGCCTACTATCCTACCTCCCCTTACCCCATTATATATAGAATAAGGATCATCTATTTTTTAATGAGGAAACAATCACATGGATACACGTTTGCCATAAAAGATTTTTACTTGTCATTTGGATCGTTTTTGTCAATTCAACAACCACCTTTGCCCACAATTCAACCCACACTAAATTTCACTTGCAATTTAGTCCCTCAAAGTCCCATAAGTTCAAATTTTGAGTCGGACAAGTTGCATGACAATGTGAAGTCACAATTCATGAATTGACAGAACCTAAATGAAGAATTAGATCCGGTAAAGATATGAACATAACAAGAATTTGATCGATAGCATTAGAAAATTTAGCATCAAGTACATATAGGGTTTAGGGTTACTTGTCCATGGACACTATCAGCGAATAGAACTCGGGATTCGGTATTAAAATAATCGGTTTCAGTCCGAAAAAATAATTACCCTTTACTAAAAATATGCTCAGTATGGAGACATGAATCTACAACTATGTTATGAGCTTCAATTTAAGACGAAACAAGCAATAAGAAACAGAATCCATAAGCAAACTCTCAGCTTGGCTGCAGAGTTATCTTTGAGTTGATGAATTACAGAGTTCCATTGTAAAATGTAATTTTACTACAATTTGCCAGTGAGGCGGTCGAAGTAGACCCAGTGGAACGCTCTGAAATGCTTCTGTGAGTCGTCACGGCAACGATATAAAATAGAGATGCAAGTATACCATTCAGATTAAAAGAATATCAATGGCTGAAACCCCATCCGTTCTGCACAAGTACACAAACAAGAGACTGTTGCATCAGTTTACATAGAAGACGATGAAAGTATGGTGAAAACCAAAACTTTTCACAAAAGGAATGTGTTGTCACTCAGTGCACTTGTTTGAAATGATATATATATATGTGTGTGTGTGTCAGTGTATGTATATGAGCAATATGAGGCTTTCTTTTTGGATAGTTCACGTTGCCTGTGATTGAATCCCGATCACTAAAACTAAGAGTATATAGGAGGATTTCACATAAAAAAGTTTACCCTTTCACAAGTCATGTTAATTCAGTATTTCTTCTTTCCAGATCAATCTTCATGTTCATCTTCAGAATCTGCATAAGATAATAAAAGGGCAAAACGGCGATTAAAGATAAAAGAGTTACGACGTGAAAAGAAAACCAGTTGAAAGCAGATTCTACAAATGGAACATAAGCTAGTCGACAATATAAATACATACAAGCAATAAATCATGTTTAGCATGTCAGAAATGCTGTCCTTACCAGATCTAACATCTTCACTGAGTTTGCCTCTTGCTTGGATTTGTTTGACAAGCATTCGATACATAAGTACCCACCAATAGATATGAAGAACCAGCAGGCAAAATAGGAGGGTGTTGAACAGATAATAAGAAATCGGTCCATCTACGGGATGTTTTTCCTTGTCCAATGCAAGGAGAACTTCATAACTGCAATAGACAAGTGATATAAGATAGACGAAAAGAACAAAATTAGAAATGCAATCTTAAAACCCCGGAACTCACCATTGTTAACCATATATCGGGGGAAAAGGGTTAAACTTTCAATGGTGAGAAATGTGGAGTTCTTTTAGTAATCATTCAGTGTATTATCGAAGTTTCTAATTCATTTCAGATTACATATAGAGATGTCAAATATAAATCTAACAGTAACAGGACTATTCCAATGTCTAGGTCTTACACAGGGGATTAAAACTGAAAAAACCAAGAAAAGTTATGTTTCTTTCCTAATCTCTATATAGGAAGCAAGACAGCATACGTGAATCGATTCAGGTGAGGTTCTCAAGTTCTTAAGAAGAAACCTTACAGAAGTTGGGCAGAATATCAGACATGAATTCGAACCTTGTACTCCAGAGGATCCAGAACGGGTAGTAAATGAGGCGCAGTAAGATCCAAGACAAAACAAAAACTAGAAATGCAGAGCTAGCAAGTGTTTCAGCCCCACTATATTTGCTCATTTTCCCTATCTCAAGAAATACATCGCTAGCATCGTGAATTGCGAAAACAACCGAACCAACACGAGCAAATCTGAAAGAAACTGGCATAAGGAAAGAACCACCATTCTATAAAATTAAAAAAAATCTACAAGCCTAATATCCTATATTGGAGTAAGAAAGAACCTGTTGAAGCATACCTAAATATGTAAGATAACACGATGAGGATGACAGTTGCAACATGATGACCCATGGAGACTCCAAAGTCAGAACGCCTTGTTTCCCAGAAAATCAAAGCAAATATAGAGTACGCATAAAATCCAGCAACATACATATAAAGTCCCTTTAACTTCAATCTGGAAAAGAAACATAACAGATCCTCATATCTCTGAATGTTTAAGCAAGAATTGATCGAGTGAAAGGCACAGTTATATCTATTGCTGATGTCAATGAAACTTACTTAATTTTCTGATCAGGCCAGACCTGGTCTCCAGGTCCTACCCAAAAGTTTCTGGTATTTGTAAACCAGGGCTCGTTGTAAGTTACATAGAGAGCCAGAACCTCAGCTGAAAGATAATAAATGCATTTCCAAGCAGACTCCTTAAATTTTATAATCTTCTTTTTCTCTTCTGTATCACTATCCAGCATCTCATGCCCCTTCCCAAAAATCAAACGCCTTCCAATTTTCTGAAACCATGTAAGATATTTTCAAAATGGTGACAGATAAAAAGGAGAGGAAACAAAGGAGAGGACCAAAGTAGCTACACCGAGATAGAAACTATATTACATGGAAATCAATATGCCAAGACATATGCTACGATATACTTCATCTGTGCTTATTCTTATCAACCATGAAACTTTTGTCTGTACTCAAATATCACCTTACTTTATAATTAATTTCAAGTCATTTAGCAAGTAAATTGTAACAAAATGTATCCCTATGTGGGGTTTCAAACTTTAGTCAAAAAACTAATATATCAACACCAATAGCACTGGCATTAACATGAAATAATCTAAAAGCAAATCCACCGCATAATCCCGCACATTAAAGTCACCTATCAACAGGAGGGTAAAAGAATCTACAGTTATTTGTTGAACAATTCATAAACATACAAGAATTGTTCAAACAACAACATCGTCTGAGGCTTTACCAATATATGAAGTGGTATGTCAAAACAATGACACAACACTTATATATTACTTGAAGCCCTTAGGAGAGCTCACAAAAGAACTAAATTTTAGTCATCCTCGGGAATGAATTCAAATTTCTTCATTCCCAAGTGCCAAGCGCTTTAAAACCAAAATGGTCATTTCCACTTATTTTCATTCTCTCCTCCAGTCCTCCTGACATTAATCAACCCGTCAAACATCTAAGTAGACTAAGCAGAGCTTGAACCAAGCTAACATGTACCTGATATAGAACTAAAACTCAGCTAAACATGTAGCAAAAGAAATATAATTTTTACTGTGTCTTAGAAGATACAAATTGTTAGCCGAAAGCAAGTCTTTCGGAGTAAAAATTAGAAATTTGAGAAGAACAAAAGCATGGAATAATTACATTACAACCATCATGCAGTAGGTCCAAAGTTCAAACTTCTTGATCTTATCTTCAAATGTCAGCAACATAAACGAGAGTTTTTCAACAACATAGTTTTAGCTTGTAGAACAATGCAATGGTACGACAAACCAAGACCAATAGGGACAATAATTTAAAGTCAAGGATTCAAACACTAAAGGGAAAAATGTTCAAACACTAAAGGGAAAAATGATCTACAGTATACTTTGACATAGTTGAGGGAAGAATGAGAGCTATACCCCATCGAGTAGCCCAAAGGGAAACTTAGATAAAGAAAACACACAGCCATCCAATAGTAATGTATTTACATAGACAACTAAACTCTCATTAAAAGTTAAATTGCAAAAGAAAACTTGCTCAAATGATTCTCCATATCTTAATCTTCATTCAAATTCCTAATTTTCTTTTAAATTCAGTTCTAATTCATGTTTTATTCATTTTAAATATCAATAACCAAAACCAAACAGAAGTATGATCTAATTCCCAGAACCAAACAGTAAGAAATAAGCATAAATGTAAATGTAATACCATTCACATGCAGCAAAAAATAAGCAGCAGTGAGAACAAGTAAAAAATCATGAATCTTATATAGGTCAATTCTAGAACAACAAAAAAAAAACCCATCAAAGCAATTCAATAAAGATAAAAAAGTAACATCAAATACACCAGAAAGAAACAAAATTTCTAAACTTTTGACTTTTTTTCATTCAAAGCAATGAAAAAAATCCAATCAAGTCATCATAAAGATGAATAAAATAGAATTAAAAAAAATCAAGTACCTCAAACATGAATCTATCGAGAAAGAAACGAACAGAGGGGAAAAACAGAGCAAAGAAAGGAAGGACAATGAAATCGCCATAAGCAGGGTAAGCTTCCTGCTCCCAATCGATTGATTCGATAAATTGAACCGAACCCATTTTTGATTAGCGATGTTTGATCCAATTTTTTTTCTCGGGAAACAATCAGAAAAAAAATGAACAAGAGGAACGGTGTGAACTGTGGATCACATGCACAGAGACAGTCACAAACAACGTCATCGGCTTCTCTGTTTCTATCTTCTATTTTTTTACTTTATTTATGGTTTTATTTTTTCCAGTCCCTATACGCTTTGGACTTTTAAAATTTAATTCCCTTTCTTTTAATTCCAATAATTTAATCCAGTTTTTTGTTACTTAAAATTAAAGTCTAATAAATAATAATAAATTCTATTAAAATTTAAATAAATGTATTTTAATATTTGAAATTTTGATTTACAAATTATAAAATAATAGACAACACGTATTCAAATTTAATAAAGTTCTCATACGATTTAATGATTAAAGGTCAATACAAATTATTATAAAACTCAAACACCTTATCAACATTGAAAGATACACTATTAATATTAACATAAAAATACATAAAATAATGACGACACTACTCAGACAAAATCAATTAATGACGGATCTATAAATATTTTTCAGGGTAGGTCAGATAATTGTGAACTTTTGTCGATAAAAATATCTATATAATTCAAACATGAATAAACTAAAGATAATCAAATAATAGTTACCTAGAGAGATGGTGTTAGTTCAAATCTTGAGTAAATAATATTAATTATTATTCAATAAAACAATATTTTTTCAAATCAACCAAATAAAAGGACTAAACTCTTAGAGAAAAAAGTATAGGGACTATATTTTGAAAATTCCAATAGTACAAAGACTGAGATTGGAATTAAACCTTTATTTATATTTTTACTATTTATTTTTTATTTCAATGAAACGAAAAAGTATGTTTTCCTAAAAGCCAAAAGCTGATGGGAAAAATAATGAATGGGATAGAATCTCAGTATTAATTACCCTTGGTTTTGTTATATTTTCTAAATTGCCACTACTTTTTCGGTTCACCATGTTGCCCTTACGTTGAAATTGCCGATAAGGTAAGGGTGTTCATAATTCAATTAAAACCGAATTAATCAAGTGAATCAAAATTTTGGTAGGTTAATTTTATAATTCAGTTGATTAATGATTAATGATTAATGTGTTTTTAAATTTTGGTTTAAAATCGGTTAATTAACTAAATTAACTAAAATTATTAAATATTTGATATTATATATATATTATTTAGTTTTAGAGTTGTTTAAACTTCGATTTTAACCGAATTAACTGAATAAACAAAAAATATTAAATATTAAATATATATTATTTATAAATTTTGGTTAATTTGATTAACCGACCAAATAACCGAACCTAGTTTGGGTTGATTAAATTTTTTGAATAAAATTTAGTTCGATTAACAGTTAAAGTGATAAAAAACAATTAATGAAATTTGAGTAATTCAGTCAGTTAATCAAATTAACCGTTTGAACACCCCTACCTACAAGACATAGTAGACCCGGTTTGGTTCGCTTACTTTAATCACTTTAATTTTAAAAAAAAAATTAATTATAAAAATAAAAAAAATAATGTCATAAAAATTATTAATGGTATAAATTAATGCTTTTGATTAACCAAGTTAAGGTAATTACAAAGTAATATATGTTCTAAATAATCTCAGCCATTTGACAATGAACGCTCAATAACCTTGTTACAGTCGTTGGTGCTCAAACCCGTGACTTCTAGGAACAACAACGGTTCCTTTAATCATTGAGGTAAGTTGGTTCGTGTTAATGAAATAAATTAGAGTGATTAAAATAGGAACAATTTGAAAGTCGAGTAGTTAAATTGAAAATCTTTGAACTTTAGTTATAAAATAGGAGTGAGAAGATAGTTGAGTGATAAATGATGTAGTTCACCCATAAAAAAACACAGCACCATCAAGCTTTCAACGATGAAAATGAAACAAAGAATAAACGTTAGATATTAGACATTAAAACGGACCAAAATTGATAGTTTAAACACTAAACTCGCAATTTACCCATAATAATGCCAATGGGAATTTTTTTTCAACGGTCAAAATTACAGCTACCCACTCACACGTTTGATTCAATAAACAGAATCTGTGTCCATTTATTACTACAAGTTATGATTGTATCATCATCATTTTCCCAGAAAAAAATTGTGGTCAAAACTGGTCAATTGGTGTTGCAGTAGTAAGTAGTAGAAACAATTGCAGATAAAATCAGAGCTCACCCACTTTTTTGCCCTATTGAAAGGCCTTTAATGATCCGAAGGTAAGATAATAGATTGTTCCAAACGTCAGGTTGAAAGTAGTTTCTGTGGAGACCTCCAAATTATGAATTACTCCCGTAAAATTCGATCCCACAACCCTAAAATTAAGAGCCTTGTACTCTACCAACTGAACTAGACGGACAATTCATTAAAGGCTGAGAGAGAGAGAGAGCGCTAAATTTTGGTGACATTTTGTTGGGACTAAAAGGCCCACAAATAGGAAGGGCACATGGTGTCTTATTAGAATAAGTAAAAAAATATGACATCTTCTCGTATATTTGTTTAGGGGAGACACTAAATTTTTTATGTCTCTTCGTGAAGACGTCGAGTGGTAACATCTTTTTCATTTCAATATAAGTACAACTCTACCCGAAAAAAAAATAAAATTCGATGGTCTTTACTTGTAATTTTTTCACTTTTCTAATTGAGTGATTTTTTCCTTCCTAAAGTATATATACATGTGTGTAGGACATAATGTTAAAAATAATCTCTATCGTTTACTAAAATGATAGTTTTATCCCTTATTCTTTGTTTGGAGCATTTTAGCTTCCAACGTTTCATTTTTGGACAAAAAACTCCCTCTATAGATGAAAACAATTAGTTAACACATAATTAACACTTTAAAATATGAGTCCTTTTAAACCTAAAATGAAACGTTCAGGGCTAAAATGCTCCAGAAAAATAGAATAAAAGCTAAAATGATTATTTTGTTAAATGTTAGGAGCTTTTTTTGTCTTAAAATAAAATGTTGGGTCTAAAATATTCCAAAAAATAGAATAAGGGGCAAAATGACCCTTTTGGTAAATATTAGGGGTTAGTTTTAGTATTATGCCTATATATAGGGATGACAATTCGAAAGGTTGGGATGTGATACTCAAATTTGATTTGATATTATAATAATAAAATTTGAGTATGAAAACGATGTTCGAAGATGGTGGTATGAGTTTGTTAGATTAAATGATAAAAAAATTGATATCTCTTCATATAAAGTCTTTGAATTTATTATTTATCGGATCAATCCATAAACTTTTTGAAAACTCAAATTTAAATCGATTTTCAATTTTCAATTTTCAATTTTTTAGCAGCTTATCCGGGGATTTAAATGAACAGAGCATTCGATAAATTGTTCATGAATCGTTCGTACAACATTCATTTATGACTTAAGGATCACATTTGTTCCTGTAGTAGACTCAATTTATCATTTTTGCCTCTATCATGTTTTCGCATCAATTTAGCCCTCATTGTTATCTAATTGCGTCATTCTATACCTATCCCTAACTTAAAACCCTAATCATACATCTTAAGTTAAAGTTTAAGGTTTGACATTTATAGGTTAGAGGTTATGAGGTTATGGTTTAAGGTTTATAATTTAGGGTTTTAAGTTAGGGGTAGGTATATAATGATGCAATTGAGCAACTTCGAGGGCGCAATTGAGCAACTTCGAGGGCGCAATTGAGCAACTTCGAGGGCTAAATTGATACAAGAATACGATAGGAGCGAATGTGATAAATTGAGTCTACTACAGTAGCAAAAGTTACCATTTTGCCTTCATTTATTAAGGTAAAGAAGCAAGTACGAATGGAACTTTTATTTTAATTTAATAAACGAACAAACACGAAAAGAGACATGTTCAATTTGTTTATCTTCATGAAAAAACCCATGTATATGTTCTTTTATTGACTCATTTATAAGCCTTTTTAACCTGAAACTGATGGGTTCCAATCTAATAGGGTTAAATTTTTTATAAAAAAAATCATATTTGGATTGAATCAAGTCGGGTTTTTTAAGAGAGTGAGGTCGATTCGAGTTCGAGTGGAGGTTGAAAAAAACTCCGACCTGACCCAGGGATGTAATGTAATTTTCTTAAAAAAATTATTACTTTTTAATTAAGTCATTATTTTATACCAAGTTGAGTTGGATCATTTCAAGTCAGATTTATTCTATAAAATTTCATATTGAATCGTCGAGTGAAATATATAAACTTTTCGACCCGAGTAAAATCAGATAAAATTATAATTTTTAAATCGATCAATTCGAGTGAAAGATATATATTTTTCAAATTAATTAAAGTTGTCCAAAAACCTGACAAAAAAAAACCGTGTCCATCTCTGCCTGGGCCAATAAAGATCCACTTTTTCCCGCCAATCCTATCAGTTTTTAACCTCCCAAGACCCACACACCCAACCGCCATTAACGACCACATAAATAAATCTCAAAGGAAAATAAAAAGGAGCCATCCTCCTTATCCATTCCATTTCATTTCTTCCCCAATGCTTCCGCGTGGCATCATCTCCAACTTCCGATCACCCGCCGCCATCCCTTTCCCGACGACATGCAAATACTCCATCTCCGACAAGGACCTCGAGTCCCGAGGCTTCGCCCTTCGCCGCACGATCTCCGATCTCAACCTCGACCACCTCAACTCCGTCTTCGTAGCCGTGGGATTCCCCAGGCGTGACCCGGAGAAGATCAAGCTGGCACTGGAACACACGCAGTCCCTGCTCTGGGTCGAGCACAAGAGGAGCCAGAAACCGGTGGCCTTCGCCAGAGCGACGGGGGACGGCGTTTTCAACGCCATAATATGGGACGTGGTGGTGGACCCTTCGTTCCAGGGGATCGGGCTCGGCAAAGCCGTGATGGAACGGCTGATCGAGGAACTGCTGGAGAAAGGTATTTGTAACATTGCTTTGTACTCGGAGCCTAGAGTCTTGGGGTTCTATAGGCCTCTAGGGTTCGTATCCGATCCCGATGGGATTAGAGGCATGGTCTACTCTAGAAAGCAAAACAAGAAGAAATAATCTGTTTTCCCTTTCTTCATTCCAGCTTCAAATTTATTTACAGAATCATGTTCATCATTCAATCAAAATCGAAGCTTTTTCCCATTATTGTTTATTATAATTGTCACGGTTTTCTACATTTTATTCCTTTTAGATTAGATACAGAATCACGTATAGATATATATTATATAAGGAAAGAGATGAAGAGAGAGAGAGTCATGATCCTCTTTTTAACTATGTATGACGAATCATTTAGTGTCGATGTTAAACCTAAAATCACGACGATTATTCGTAATAAATAATAATACATCACATACATTTGTCATGATTATATTAAGAAATTATAATTGGTTAGAAAATATAAAATTTTGAAAGTTTCTAAGCACTTTCGAAATGTTAATCAATGAAGGAGTTCTTCCATAAATTTCAATAAATAAAAAATAAAATAACGAAAGTATGCTTTACGGTAAATGTTTGAAGGAAGTTAGTCAAACTGCTTTTGTTAAAGGGAGAAGTATTATTGATAACATCTTGTTGGCTCAAGAACTTGTGAAGGGTTATGCGAGGAAGACTCTTTCACCTCGGTGTGCTATCAAAGTGGATCTCCAAAATGTAAGGTCGTAGTTAGACTGTTAGAGATCCTGTGCAAATTCTTGTAAAGGGGTCCTTAGATCTCGAACTTGTTACACTGAGCAAGCACACTTGCATTGTTTTTCCTAAAAATAATTTTACTTGTTAACGAGATTCGAACTTAAGATCAACAAAGTCATGGGTCCAATGATCTAACCACTGCTCTATACCTGTTTTTCTACTTCTTAATGACAATAACTGATAGATATATTTTATTTTGGGACCTTGTTTTTTGAGGCCCTGCGCCGTCGTGCACTCTGCGCTCCCTCAACTATGCCCCTGCCAAAAGGCTTTTGACAGTATATTTTGGGACTTCATCCTTAGGGCCTTAGAAGCTGTGGGACTGCTTGACAAGTTCAAAAATTGGATTAGGGTTTGTCTGACTAGTGCTAAGTTCTCTATTGCATTTAATGGGAGTTTAGTGGGACTTTTTGGGGGTGCTAGAGGCATTAGATCCCTTCTCCCCTACTTGTTTGTCCTGGCCATGAGCGTGTTGTCTAGTCTCCTGGATCTGGCTGCTGCGAGTAGGATCTTCAAGTTTCATCTCAAATGCTAAAAAATTGATCTTACTCATCTTTGTTTTGTTGATGATTTGCTCATTTTTTGTAAGAGCTCCCTGGATTTCATACCAAGTGTTCAAGCTGTTTTGGAAAAGTTTTATCTTTTGTCTAGATTAAAGCTCTCTAAGAGTGAGCTATTCACCTCGGGTGTTAATTTGAATGAGATGGAGTCTATCAAAGGGACTACAAGGTTCGTTGACCAGCTCCAGTTAGGTACTTGGGGGGTGCCTCTGGTCATCAGGAAGCTATCTGACAAGGATTACTTTTCCCTACTGGATAGGATGAGTGCTAGACTGAACTGCTAGTCTTCTAAGAGTTTAAGCTATGTTGGTAGGGTGTAACTCAGTCTTGTTTAGCATTGTTAATTTCTGGTGTCGGTAGTTAATCTTCACTAAGGCGATGATGAAGAGAATTGAGCAGATGTGTATGAGATTCTTCTGAAAGGGCAATGACTCCTCGATGACTGGAGGAAAATTTGCTACCCTAAGACTCAGAGAGGACTTGGTTTGAAGGATATCTACTGTTAAAACAAAGCCAATATGTTTCAGCTTATTAGTAACATATTGACATATAGTGGTTCTATGTGGGTTGTTTGGGTGAAAGCATATGTTATTAAGGAGGAGGATTTTTGACAGATTAGGGGGAGGCCGGTGCCTTCTTCTCTATAGTTATTGATTTGAATGTCGTTAGAACTACACATAGGTTGGTATGGTTTCTTGGTCATATGCCCAGGCATTCGATTATTATCTGGTTAATTATTCTTGATAGGCTGGTTAGAATGAAGATTGTTGCTTCTGGCCTCTGGTAATGTTGAGGAGTCTAGGAACCATATGTTTTTTTGGTGTGATTTTTTTAGGGACGTTTGGAGGCTGCTTTGAAATTGTGTGGGATCTCTAAGCGTTTTCTAGCTGGGATGAGGAGCAACAATGGGTCCTAACAAGGCTTAAGGGGAAATTCATGCAGGTTATATATATATATATATATATGGAGGAGGTAGAACAATAATTACTATGCTGTTTATTACGAGATCCTTTCGACATTTAAATAATAGTACTATTCATTGCAGAAACTATTACTATTATTTAACATGGGAGAGTTTCATACATTCTGAAACTAGATATCTAAAAGGACTAAGAATTCAACCCATCTACCACCAGCTGCTGCAAATTTTCAACAACGAAATTGCTAGCCTTTTTCGACTTTTGTCACCTGACAAAGATAGAACATAGGTTTCCAGGCAGTAAACTGCAGTAAAAAACCAGCCAGAATGTTTCAATTCAACAACAAAAAACCCAGAAATCAAAGGAATCATAGACACCAAACCAAGGGTATTGAACAAAGAGATTACCTGAGAGCATTGGAACATGAAATCAAGAGACGTATTTAGCATGGTGCAAGAAAGCAGCAGAGCAAAGAACCGAAGCAATGAAGGCGAAAATCCCCAGACCGATCATCAGTGAAATCCCAGCTATGACCAAATCCATCAACGAGTGAACACCTAGCCCCATCAAAATCGACATTTTTTTTATTCTTCAATGACGAAAAGATGGAGTTTTCAAGATTGGGTTTTTTATTTTCTTTTTAATTCGTATAGAGAAACGGAACAATCTCTCACCGCTCTTTGGAAAAATTGGATCTTCCCTTGTATGTTGGAATAGGTGTAAAGAGAGGGGGAGGATTTTAAGACAGAAGTAGCCCAGAGCCTGGAACACATATATTCTTTTCGCATCACATCCTTGATGCCCTTGGCAGTTACCGTTCTGTTTCTATCTTTTGGATAAACTATACAATTGGTCCTTTATGTTCGAATAATTTTTCGTTTTAGTCACTATTGGATCTGTGAAAATGATACCAATCCATCATTTTTACATTTTGGTAAGAATTTCCAGGCAGTTTTACAGGACAACATTTCCACTATGTTTCTTCATGGTCTCAAAGCCTTCTCTTTTCCAAAGAAAAAAATTGTTATACTTCCGAAGATAGATCTCTATAAACACTGAAATCCCCGTTCAACTAAATATATTGAAAATTACAAATACTTCATTAGTCAACTATAATGCACTAAGATGAAATTCAAAATTCAAGTATCAAATCTATTTAAATCGTCAGCCTATTAGTATCCATGATGACATTACCAAAAGACAATGATCAATGGTTATTCTCTCGCCGGTCGCAACTTTCCGTTCGAACTAGAAGAGGCGAATCATTCACGGTCGACAAAACTCTTTTATTCTCATTACAATCCGTTCCATAAAGAATCCTCCATATATCTGATTCTTACCTTGAGCAAGAACTATAGAGGTAGTGCAACCATCACCAGCAAGGTCATTTGTTTTTGCACCAGCTTGCCTCACTAATTTAACTCCAACATTCTCCAATGGATCCTTCAACTCATTCTAAACAAATTGAGATATAATTTTGGAAAGAAAATACAAAATCTTGAATACATTAGGATTAGAATTAGAAGCTTATGTAGTTGAACGATGCATCTTTAGGTGCACCTTTAGAATCAACTTGTGAACTGCTTTAGAGTCTTCAGCTTTACTTGTTTGTCCCTTTAAAGGACAAGCAAAACCTGCAGGTTTTATAGATAGAACTTACTGTTTATGCAGTGGGATCACTGTTCAAGCAGGAACCTGAACCGTAGGTTGTGCTTAGGTTCATTTTTGGTGAAAAAAACGTAAGCTTGGAGCTGAAAACTCTAAGTTTAAGACCAAGCCAATTGTTGTAAAAAAAAGTACTTTGGGGGTGGGGGTCATATTTAGTGGATAGCCTTTTACAAAATGTTTTGCACAGTTAGAGTAACTATTTTCAATGATGAATCCACTAGCAACACCATTTTCCACCCCCATTTGTCCTCTTGCCCCCTGTTATTGTGAACAGCAATGGAGAAATGGCCTGGCTATGGGGCCACCACTCTAGAAGCAGTAAATTTGGCTATATATTTATAATTCGTGTTATAGGTCAAAATTCTTTACCTAATCCATATCTTAGGTGAAATTCTATTATTAGAGCTGGTTGGGTTCATAAAATGATTATTATATTAAATTCATGATTGAGTGTTTGATTTGTTTCTGAGTATGGACCACTGCTGATGCACATGTTGTTTTTAACGTTTTCGGATTAATGTTTATGCGGCGAGAAGAGCTGCAGACGAGTAAATATGATCAAAAGATGTTATTGCATGGTTGGATTATAGTCCCATACAGCCATAGAAAACCGAGGAACATATTATATATATATGTGTGTGTGTGTATATATATATATGGGAAGATGACTCTTATCTCAATGAAGCAAGTCAACTGAGTTAGCAATAGATTGATTTGTGGACTCAGCTTGCAAGTGAGCAGTGTTGCAGGAGATCTCTTCCAGCTCTCTGAATGCAAGGGAATAAGGGCTGCCTATTTTAATATCCGACAGCGTTTGGCGGAGATTGGAAGCTTCTTCCTTGAGCCTTGCATTCTCTTGAAGGACACGGTCATGGGACTCCGATACATGGTTTAACTTGTCTATGAGATTGTGGTTCTCATTACGAAGCCTGATGACATGTGACCAAAGTTCATCCAAGTGCTTCTGTTTCCGCATCCTCGACCGACGAGCGGACTCTCTGTTTGATATCATTCTCCGATGTTTCCTCTCGTCGATGATGTTTACCTGGTGCTCCTCGGCCTCATCTGAAGTTGAATTATTGCTGATACTGGAGGACAGCGCGGCGAACTCAAGGGAAGAGGGCGTGATGTGGGGATTCGGAAGGCTGCTAAAGAATGTGTTGAAGTGAGAAGATGGTATAGAGTTTTGCATCATGCCAAGGTTGGCCGGAATAAGGATCGGGTTTTCCGGTGCTAGGTAGTGAAGTCCTCTGAGCTCACTGGGAACCATGGTTTCTAAGTCGTGGAAGTCGGTGCCTGAAACCGAA